CCGGGCAGGGGGGCTGGGGGGCCGGGTGAGTGCAATGGGAACAAGGGCCGGAGACTGGCACCGGGACGGGAGGCGGGGCCAGTTTGCCCAGCAGTAGCTGGTGGCGAGGCTGCCGGGCACCTGACCTTTACCAGGTCCGATTTGCGTGAGTTTTGTCTAAACAACCCTGGGAGTCCGGTGACATGCCGGCCTTGCAGTCAGTAGAACCCAAACGCAGAAGGGTTAAGTTACCCTCGGCTGCAGAGCAGGGACAGCCACCCCCAGCCTCGGCGTTTCTTCCCCACCCCGCTCCCTCCAGTCACTTAGAAAATACTCGGAAGAAAAGGGCGTTGCTAATCGCCTCTGGGCGGGGAAGAGTGAGAATAGCGCGGACAGAAGTCGATGTGCCGGTGCCGCTGCTGTCACTTCCTTCTAACTGTGGGACTATATCCAGCTAGTGGCGGCCGCGCTGTCTGAAAATAATACTATCAGTGATAACTCGTGCAGGGGCGTAGCGCGTGCAGGTTACTAGTCTAAGCACTTTAGTATTTGGTGTTCACAGTAACCCCATTAGTTAAATACTGTTAGCTGTCATTGTCCCCCTTTTACAGGTGAGAGGGCTGGGGCTCAGAGGGATGTTAAGTGACTTGCCCAAATGACTTAACTTAATACGGAGCTGGGATCCAACGGAGGCAGTGTGACCTTGGGGTGGGTGGTATTAGTCACTAAACTGCCCCTCTGGTCAAGGCCATTCTGCGCCAGCTTCCTGCCTTGCCCTCAGGGCCCCCCTTCCACCCTCTCCTGTGGCTTGCACAGGCCCCCAGGAGTAAAAGCGAGACCTGACTACAGCAGGGTTTCTTAGTCACACCCCCGTGTTCCCACAGCCTGGGAGAAGGGTAGGAAGTGCTTTGGGGGCACCCCACACAGGCTTCAGCCTGGAATGGCTCATTCATTCGGTCACTGGACCAAAAAGAATGCAAATGTGACACCACAGGTATCACTCCGTAAGGACTGGTGCTTATTGGTGGCAGGCGAGACAACACAGCTCTGAAAGCAGACAAATTAAGATTTTATGTATTTTATACATACATGTACACATACTGCTAGGCAAAACAACACAGGAAAATTATATTTTTAAGGTTATTCCCTGTGGGGGGGGATGCTGATATACGTGTAAGAGGCGGCCCTTAAAATGTAGATAGCAGTCTAGATTGACATGTGTGTGTCTGTGTTTTTATTTGCGTATGTTGGAGGAAAGCACACCGGCAGGTTAACAGCAGGTACGGGGGGCTGATCAGCGGCCGCTCTGTGTCACCCTTGTACAGAAGACAGTGCAGCCTGATGGTTCAGAGTGGGCTCCGGCTGTAGGTTGGCGGGGTGTCGCATTTTGGCTGTGCCTTCATCTAACTGTATGACCTCAGGCAAATTACTTACCTCTCTATGCCTCAGTTTCCTCATTTTTGCAAATGATTATGGTGGCACAAGTGACCGCCTCACGGGGCCGTCAAGGCTGGAGGGTCGGCACACAGGCTGGCAGTACCTCGGGCTCATCGCTGGAGATGCGAATTTGCAGGAGCCGTCCAGGCAGCATTTGGTTCTTCCTCTCTCCTCGTCCTCCGTTCCAGAAACAGCCTTCTCTGGTCCGGAGCGCCCAGCTCACTGATCTCCGTAGTGACTTCGGCAGATGTGGACGTGGTGGCCAGGGACCGGAGACCGGCGGTCCGTCAGGGCAGCTTCCAAAATAAGAATTGGGACTTGCTTAGTCTCCTAGGGCGGCCACACAAATTGCCACAAACTCGGTGGCTTAAAGCAACAGAAGTTGGTTCTCTTGTAGTTCTGGAGCCAAAGGGAGAAATCCGGTGTCGCAGGGCCGCGCTCCCCGGGGGTTCTAGGGAGGCACCCGCCTGCTCCATGGCCACGTGGCCCCTCTATGCATGTCTTACAAGGACACTCGTCACTGGGTTTAGGGCCCACTGGGTAATACACAGTGAGCTCATCTCGAGTCCCTGGGCTTGATCACGTTTTTGAAGACCCTTTTCTAGTGAGTTAACGCTCACAGGGACTTGCCAAGGATGTATCTTCGTAGGGGCCACCATTCAGGATTTGGGGGAAGCAACCCCGTTTCCAACCTGGCAACTCCCAGCCCCTCCCTCAGCGGCCAGTGCCACCACGACCCCAGCCGACCCCAGCCGACCCCAGCCATCAGCCTTTGGCAACTTCGCCTCTGGGGTAGTGTTTTGGGGTGGGGTTGGCTGGGTAGAATTAGAGGCCACTCTTGGGCCTTCTGTGACCTCCTGGCCCCTCTGCTACTGGGCGACTTCGGCCTCTCCAGGAGGACCACTTGGGTCAGCACCAGGAAGCCCACTGAAGAGTGTGGTGTCCCCTGTCTCCTGAAGGACTCCCCACACCTCTGGTAAGTCATTTTCTCTCGCCCCCTGCCCCCCCGCCCAGACCTGTATGCGGCATTCGACATCATATGTGATCACGTGGGGAAAGACTGGAGAAGACTGGCCCGTCAGCTGAAAGTGTCTGACAGCAAGATCGACGCCATCGAGATGAAGTACCCCCGCAACCTGACGGAGCAGGTGAGGGAGTCGCTGAGAGTCTGGAAGAGCAGCCGGCGGGAGGACGCGGCGGTGTCCCAGCTGGTGGAGGCGCTGCGGGCCTGCCGGCTCAACCTGGTGGCGGACCACGTCGAGGAGGCGCAGCAGGCCCGGGGCCTCCAGAGCGAGAGCGAGAGTGCCAGCGGCTCTGTGTCCCCAGTGTCCTGGGGCTCGGACGCCCCCGCCTCCAGAGCCTGCTGATGGCCCGATGCTCTTTCCCGGGGACCGGAGGGCATCGGGCAGTCTGAACTTCAGGTCCCTCTGCCACGGGAACCAGATGCTTCCCGCGCGCCACCACTGTGAGGACCAGCAGTGAGCCAGAGAAGGGACCCCAGCGTGCACAGCCACAGAGCCCGGCCACAGAGCTGTGTCTCAGAGCTGGTGGTGACTGAGCCTTGCTCCGTGCTGGGCGGGGCCTCGGCCACTGCAGAGACTTCCGTGCTCCTTGTGAGCGCTCTCCTCAGGGCACTCTGGTGTCCCCGTTAAATGAGTTCCCATGGAGGAGGTTCGTAGACCCGTATCCGTCACAAACAAGGAATCCGTCAGAAAATCGGCCTCATCGCATTATGATTCTGCAGGACAGGAAGTGAGCGCAGAGCTGGGAGCTGGATGCACGCGTCCCCCGGGGCCAGAGCCCGCACGAGGTCGTTCTGCCAGCCCCACAGTCGGCCAGGGGCTTTGAGGCCATCGGCATAGACCGCGTACCTGGGCAGGTGGCACGGGGTGGGGCGCCGGGGGACACACACACCCAGCTGCATCTCTCGGCCCTTGAGTGAGTTGGGAGTCCTGGAGGAATGCCCGTTGCGTGCTCCGAAGTGACCGCAACGCAGCAGCGCTCTGTACGGGCTCATTCCCAGGCGTTGCAGCTCCTGCGCTTGCCCAGCGCGCTCCTGTCCTACATCGAAATCACTACTCTAATAACAACGGGCAAAGGTACTGGATCTCGTCATTTTAAAAGGCAATCTTCTTCCCTGCTTCTAACTGACCCTATTAAATGCTTTTTCAGCAGAAACCTTGTCACAGAATTTTTCCAGTTCCTTTGGTGACGGTCTCACGTCACATATTCTCAAAAGTCCCATCGCAGCTGATCGTGGGCTCCGCCTGTGACTAAGTGGTTGGATTTCATGACAGCTGCGCTGACCGCTGGTGGGGGGCTGTCGCCCTCGTTAACCACTGTCTGCCAGAGGGCCGCTTTCACCCACTTGGGCCCTGCAGACCTCCAAGAGGCATTGGAGCCAAGTGGCTGTCCCTTGTCTGGACCTTCCAGCTACGACTTTGCCACATGTGATGGATATCATGCTGTGCCGCCTTGACCTTGCCTAAGATCCTAGCACACTGTCCCCGCTAAGCTATGGCATGGCCCTTGATCCCTTCCACACCTTCAGCTGACACTGCCTGCTGCCAGGCATGGCTGGCAGCTGGGGCCAGAGCAGCACGCGGCACAGACGGGGCACTGCTCAGTTGACCTCGAAAGCCTGGCCTGGAACACAAGTGTAACCGGTTCGTCACGGGTTTGGGGTGCTGCCAGTCACGGTGTGGCCTGACCTTGTGCTTGCAGAACACGTCCCCACCCGTAGGCAGCACCTGCCTCTTCCGGCTTTGGGTCAGGGCTGATTCTGTGGATGACACACATCACCATCCGTAAGTGTGAGTCGCTTGGTGAATGGGTAGCTTTGAGAATTAGGGTTTCTGGGAAACGTGCCTGTGTTTCTCAAGCAGAGGCAGATTGCAGAGGTTCCGGCTCTCCCTTATGGTTTGTGGCGAACACTGCTAAAGTGTAGGAGTTCCTGGCGCCCTGCCAGCGCCTTCCCTGCCACCACATGCTAGTCACACCTGGAGGGTCCCCCGACCTCCGTCACCCAGGTGCTCTTACGGGCTTCGACGTGCTAACCCACGCCAGGTCAGCCGTTGCCTGGGAGCACTGGACAGGGCTCAGGCCCACAGGCGGTGAGGCGCGGGGTCTGCCTGGGCACCCACCCCAGGGTGTCCTGTGAACGGGCCTGCTGTCAGTGTGGTGGCTCAGACTTTGGAGCAGCCTCGCGTGACCCGCCCTGTGACCTGATCTCACCGGCACAAGGCTTGGACCTGAGTTGGAAGACAGGAAAGATGATGAGCGAGAGAGATATATATGATGGACGTCTAACCAGAGTTAGGACCTTGAGGACACAGGCAGCTACCCCAGCCCTAAGTAGGCAGCTGCTATAATTTTTGGACAAGGATTTCTTATAAGGACTTCACAAAAAAAAATCCTTGTTCCTCTCTATTTTTTTACAGTCATGTAAAATTTATATTTCTGATAAAGGTACAGGCAAGTCACGTGGTTTACTTGAAAGCCAAAGAGCCTCATTTTAGTCTCTTGATCCTTTTCCTCTGAGAAAGAGATGCGTTTTGAGGAACGTTCCAGGCCAGCAAAGGCGGATTTGACCAAGCGCTTGCAGGAGCACAGGGTCAGCCCCATGTCTCCTGGCCCTGCAAGTTTCATACGTGCACACGCGTGCGCGCGTGCGTGGCCATCCTTCCGCCCCTCTTCGGGCCGCAGCCGGCCTGGGCCCTGGACAGGGACACACAGCCTACCTCCAGGGTCCCCAGCCACTCCGAACTCTTCCGTTGGGGACAGGGGGTCGTGGCAGGCCCTCATCCATCCTTTTCTCTCCCCACTCACCTGGATCCACATCCGCTGCATCCTCCTCCCAAGACCACCGCCCCCAAACTACGCTTGGTGAGGTCACAGGTTGCCAGACCCGTTGTATCCATGTCCTGTCATGCTCAGCTTCAGGGCGTGCAACACCTCCTGACCACCCTCCGTGAATCCCCCTGGTCGTCCTCCCTCCTGTGACCACTCCTCCGGTCCCAGGTGTCTCCCACGTCTCTCCCCGAGGCACCAGACCCATATTGTCAGCCACCAAGGGGCGATGCCTTTTGCCATGCAAGGGAAGGTAGTCACAGATTCTGGGGATTAGGACGGGGTACCCAAGGGGGCAGGCATTCTGCCTACCACAGACCTCAAACTCGGCACCCCCCACCCCGTTTCTGCCCAGTTCCATGCCTGGCACCACTCTACCCAGCGACCTAAGGTGCAGACTGAGCCCCCTCCAACCTGGGGCTCACTCCCCCGTGTATACTTGAGCACCAGCCCCTCTGGACTACCTCCACCCCCTCCTCCTGCCCCCCACCCCCAGCGAGCCTCCAGCCCCTTGGGACAGCTCCTCCCACCCGCAGACCCCGGACTGTATTTTTAGAAACCACGAGCTCTCTACACATATCTTTTAGTTTCGTGTTTTTATTTCCATGATGACTTCTGAGTCATCTTGCTGACTGCTCGCTAGCCACAGGATTGCTGTGTGCATCGCATCTGGGACTGGACAGGCAAGCACGCCGGGGTCGCGTGTACTCATGCAGGAGCAGCCTGTCACCCTCCATCTGCTGATACAAAGGCAGAACTTGTCTTTTAAAGGGAAAATTTGCAATTGAAATCCATTTCCATCAAAGCAGCCCTCAGTTTTTAAGTCTGAGTAAAGACACTGGCAAGAGTCACACATGCACACCAACCACATTAGTCGTCACCAGGGGACAGAGGCCGATTCAGCGGGCGAGTGGAGTCCTCACCGAGTGAGAGCACGTGACGTGGGTGCAGCTCTCCCGGTGTGGGTCGAAGAGAGAAGCCGCAGACCCCGGGGCACAGGCCTCCCGACCTCCCAAACCCGCAATGACAGCGTAGACTCCAAGTGAGACTTTCACCAAACATCACGTGTTGTTTGATGGGACAGAGCCATTGTTTGGAGAGGTGACAAAGCGCTGGGGCTGGATGGTGGCGATGGTCACGCAGCATTGTAAACGTGCTCGGTGACACTTAAAAATCGTTAAAAGGGTAAATCTTATGTATACTTTACCACAATTAAAAAATCATACTTCACACGAAATTAATTGCGTTATGAATGTAAACGGTGTCCCTAATTTGGAATGTCATTGACATTTAAGTTTAAGACAGCTAACAACATCATAAGTAAAACCGTGCTCATCACGGGGCATCTGGGTCAGCGCTACTGTTTCCAGGGGGGACTCCAGCTGGGAACACTCAGCTCCGAGGGTGCCCAGGCCCCGGGGGTCCACCCCAACCTCCGCATCCTGGTGCCCCGGGGGTGCCCGGCAGTCTGCCCAGGTTTCCTCCGCCCTCCCCGCACCTGACACAGCCGTGCCCACCCCACTCCCAGCAGTGGGCCCCCTCCCGCCCCACCGGGCCCGTTCCCTGAGCACGGCGACCCGAGGCTGCCTCTGCTGCTGCTTCCTGCGCTGTCCGGCGGCTTCGCCGGTAAGGGCTAGCTGGGTTTGCTGAGCGGATGAACAGACTGCGATAGTGAGGGGCCAGGTGTCCGCGGGCCGGAGTTTCCTGCGGGCGAGAAAGCGCGTCCCCCGAGGGGCTTCCGGAGCCCGCGATTTGCTTTCGCGGGCTCCGGCCCATCCGGCCGTGAGAGTTCCTGCCGATGCCGATGTGGCCGAGACCCAGTCCCTGGTCCCAGCAGGTCTGGCCAGGGCTCCCAAGAAGGCACCTGACCCCGTGAGTCGCCGCCAGCCACGCGGGGCCCTCCTCCCCAAGAAGAGGCGATGCCACCTACACGAGAACGGTCCGCGCTCTGGGCGCTCGGAGCTGTGCGCGCCACTCCTGCGACCCTCTGTCCAGCCACGGCGCTGGCTCCACGCCGCAGATTCCCAGCAGTGGGCGTGGCCTGGGGCCGCCGGTCCACCCCACAGTGGAGCCTACCCCCCAACCTCCCTCTCTCCCCCGAGAGGACCCTCCCTCTCCTAGGGTTGCTGAAAGGTTCAGGCAGAGCGTCTGGGAGTGACTGGCACTTGGTAAAGGTCACTAAATGTCACTGTTTTCACTGGACCTTAGTGCATGTTTTCAATGACTGGCCTTTACACCTTTACGGCTTGACTGGGCATGAGCTCCCGGATGACATGTTTTTCCCCAGAGACCTTCAGAGGCAGCCGCTGATGCCAGGGGACCAGCACCAGTGCCTCTCCCTGAGGGGGACGTGACCCAGGCCTGCCCACCCGGTCCTATCAGGGCATTTACATGTGGACAGCACAAAAGTGGACTCCTCTGCCATCTGCCCCCACTGACGGCATCTGTAGCTCACACCACAAACCAGAGACCAGACCAGAGTCTGCCCCACGCACACTGACGAGACTGCGAGGCCGACTCGTCTTTCTCCGCACAGATCAAAATTCAAGTAGCCAAGGAAGGGGACCCCACGGAGGGGAGGGATGACCGCAGGACAGAGCTAGTAGAGATACAGTGAACAATACCACGGAGGCATGGCGTCCCCAGAAGTGGAGCCGGGTCGGCTGGCCCTCGGGCCGACTGCCCAGGTTCGAATCCCAGCTCTGCTACTTAGCAGTCGGGGGCAAAGGAAAACACTTCAAAATGGCTTATTCTCATTCCTGCCTCCGAGGACACCGTGAGGAGTCTGCGACCTGCTCACAAGGCAGAGGGTGAGCACACAAGTAAGGACACATCCGCCTCCGCTGTTCCTGGTGCTATCTCACAATCACAATGCCAAGCGTGTAGCTGGCAGCAGAACCCAGAGACAAGCATCACGGAGTGGCCGCATCAGCGTGCCCTGCCTCCGGGCTCCCGGTCCAGTGAGCCAACACATGCCTGTGAGACCTCCCCTCCCAGGGCAGAGGCACACACACTCCCCACCCCCACCCCCACCCCTGCCCACACCAGCAGTAGGCGGTGGGCGCCTCCGGGAAGCTCAGTGTTGGCCCAAAGCCCGGGACCCAGGCAAAGCTTCGAGTCAGAAGCCGGTGGCACAAGCAAGCCCATTGCATGGGCTGCAGCAGCACCACAGAGGTCTCGTGGTGGCTTTTGGTGGTAGTGCTACTTTAAGGTTCCCTGGGGGCAGCTCTGCACAGGTCCTGGGGTGCTTGTCCTCCTGAGGCCTGCGGGCCGCGTGCTGTCCTTTAATACTCGCTTTGCTGTGTCAACCACTCCGACCTTTGCTCCATTTTTTCTGTCTTTGTTTCGCAACTGGGACCTGCCAGGAGTTTGATTTTGTCCCAAGAGCAAGGGGAAGGCCCTGCAGAGGTCCAGGCAGAAGACGGAGGCGGTACGATCAGATTTGCATCTTTCTCTGCTGCTCGGCTGCGGATGGGCTAGGGGGAGTGAGAATGGGAACCGGGAGCCGGCCAGAGGCGCTGGAGTGGGCCCGGTGGGACCCGCTGCAGGGGGCACAAGCTGTGGGTGGTCATGGAGGAAGAGCCGCGGGGTGTTTGGGGGCAAGGGAGAGAGGAGGGGGTGGGGCCAGGAGGTTCCAGGCGAGGGCTGGCATCCTGAGAAGAGGAACCAGCGGCTGGGTGTGGGCGCGGCGCCCCACGAAGGGATGCTGGCTCCTGATGACGCTGAGTTGGGAGGGGCCCTCAGCTCCACAGAGGTGTCTAGTGGGCAAGGAGGTGTATGACTTAATGCGTGTGGGTGCCAGCTGGCCAGGGAGAAAAGGGCAGGAGCACCTTGCCCTCAAGGAAGAATCTTCTGGAAAGGTGTTCAAACTGCAGAAGCCCAGGAAGTCTGACTCAGTCCTCGGTGGAGCCCTGAAATTGCCCCATCGCGGCCCGGGCAGGCTGGCCAGTACGCCACCAACTGACGCCTCACGAATACCCTTGTTGTGACCGAAATAACCAGGCCCAACTCGAGTGCTCTTAATCCAAGAGACAGTTTATTAGCCGGCGGCTGTCCTTGCAAAGGAGCAGCCCTGAGACGCAGGGGCACAAAGGTTTTAAGCCCTCGATCCCATCCCCCACATCCTTAATCTTTACACAAAAGACTATATCTCCTCCATTCATTAACTGATAACTAAGAGGTGGGTAAGCAAGCAGGGGTACAGAAGCAGAATGCATCATTGTTAAAATATTTTGTACCTATAGTCAGTGATCCGGCCAGTAAATCCCTTTAGTTAATAAATTTTTAGCAGATAACTAACTAGAAGTGAGACATGGCGGTTAGCACGTACCATGTCTTATCCTTAACCTATTGTTTCTAAAGGTGAGGTCACTACACCCTCAGCTCCGATCTGGTCTCCCCGACATAATAGCTCAGGGCAGGCTGAGGCCATCATAACCCATCTTCCATCCAGATGGGAGGGAGGCCAGGGCTGCGGGGCGGGGGTTGCTGCTCCAGAGCCTCCCAGCGGCCTCGCGGGATCCCCCAGACAACGCTCTCAGGGGACAGGGAGGGTGTTCCGAAGAAGGCTCAGGGGATGGGGAGGGCGTTCCCCAGAAGGCAGCAGTCACCTCCAGGTGAATCGGATGCTTGAATGGGGTGAGAGCTCTAGATTTAAAATCTGTCCTCCTCCAGGCTGGGAATGCCACAAGTGGTGGATTTGGGTTTTTGGTTTTTGTTTTGTTTTGAGGTTATTCTGAGAGGCTTTGCCATCCAATTTGTAAAACAAAAGGGGGCGTGATTCCCCTTCCTTTTTCCCTGTGGGCTTTGGGAAGGCAGGGGCATGGTACTCACAGCCTCCTGGAGAGGGTGACCTCTGACACCCATTGTGTCCTATGACTGTGTACCCAGTGGGGGACCCACTCCGAGGGTCGCGGCCCTGCTGCCCACAAGCTCTCACTGTTTGCTGGTACTGAACCCCCTAACCCTGCACTTCCTGTGAGTGACGTTGGGGACGCCCCACCTTCCCCTGGGGCTGCCGTGGCGGAGGCCAGTGCCCAGCTCGAAGCCTCAAGAACTGAGTTGCTGATTTGTTATTCTCATGGGCTCATAACTGCGTTGGGCACTGGGGAGGAAGGAGGACTTGGGGATGGAGAAAACGCGGCAGCTGTGACATTCAGGAGCTCGAGGCCTAAGGGGACAGACAGAGGAACAATTTTACGTGAAGAGACTGAAGTCCTGAGAACCGAAGTGATTTGTCAGGTCTCAGAGTGGAGCTCAGACTGGAACTCAAGTCTGCTGACTCCAGGGCCCCACCTAACTGTGTTTCAGAGAAGGGGCCTTTTGAGTTGGGTTTCATAGGATGAGTAGGAGTTCACCAGCTGGCGACCAGTTCAGGCACAGAATCAGCAAGTGCAAAGGCCAGGAGGCGTGACATTAGAGGGCTTGTTCGGGAGGCGGAAAAGCAGATTAGCGGGGCTGGTTCCAGGGAGGTTCAGAAGAATGTTTGCAGCCCGAAGGCCAAGGAAAGGCCTGCGTTTCATCTTCTGGACAAAAAGGGCCAGCGACATATTTTAAGCAAGACAATGACGTGATTAAACGTCTAGCTCATTTTATTAGAGATCCAGTGAATGTGCTTGTTCATCAGAAAATGAGGAAACAGAACAACAGCTAGATTCCTAAGGATTATACTTTAACTTTTGGGCTGAGTTACGAGAAAAAAAATGTAGCGTATCATCACTTAGGAAGGGCTGGCGCGCTCTCGAAGGTGCGAGCAGCTGCGTGTTTTCCAGGGCTTTGAGGGCTCACCTACTGTGTCGGCCTCACAGGAACCTCGAACTGTTGCTAAGAGAGGTTGTTTCCCCTTCTGTCAGGTAAGGAATAGAGGTGCGGAGGGGGCCGGTGTGACTTGGGTGATACGCCCCGGGGGTCCCCCACTAGGAGGCGAAGAATGAAAGCGCTTCTCTTCGCCAGACTGAGAGAGCAGGCCTGTCCTGCAGAATCTTCTAGGTCCCAGACAGGCCCAGCTGGCCCAGAAAGTGGCCCAGCTCGGGGTGCAGGGAGAAGCCCACGCCAGCCACACGCCGTCCGGGGGCTGCCAGGGCGCCTGCCCGACCAGCCGTCCCATCTCACGGCAGGCGGGCAGCCTGGGAGTGGCCAGGCGTCTCTGGCCAGCACTGGAGCACCCCCAAAGCCTATGTGTGCTCCAGAAATAGTCTGCTGAATGCGTCGGCCAGCGCTGGAAATAAACCCGTCCGCTGGCTCTCTGCCCAGAGAAGGCCGGGTGGAGCACAGAGAGCCACGCTTCCGGTCCCCACGCCCTTTTATTTTGGGAAAATCAAACGCTCCCCACCCGGAGCTGCCTGCTGGAGGAGGGGGCGGCTTTGTCCCATGAGACTCTTGAGAGAGAATGTTTGGGCGCAGAAGCGGGCGCATGACCCTCCCACCCATTCGTCCACTCGTTCATCCGTTCACTCATCCACCGGCATGTCTTCAGGGGCCCCCTTCACGTGCCCAGCGCTGCCTGGGCATCAGGACGCAGCCCCGAGCGTGGCAGGAAGCCGCCACCTCGGGGTGGGCCTGCTCCGCCGTTCACAAGCCCGGAGACCAGCTTCCTCTCATGACAGTGGGGGCAGGTGCTGACGGGTTCACTGCGCGGGGCACGTGAGCCCGCCACCCCCCCGATACCGCCATAATCATCGCTTTGTTCACGCGCTCGCTCACTCAGGAACACCTGTGGGCTTAGCGGGGTGGGGCAGCTGGCACCCCTGCATCCTTCTCGGTGGGCAGGTGGCCGCCTTCCTCCACCGCACCCCGACTCGCTCCTGGCCTCCCAACTCCCCTGCCTGGCTCAGACCGTTTCCATCTCTTCTGGAACAAGCACTTGCTCCTTCGGGGCCCTGCCCCGCCCCCGCCATCATTCCCACTCTGGGCCCCTCTGCACACTGGGGGCAATGCGTCCTAAAAGTGACACCCGACCCCAGCCCGGTCCTTCCCTTGCACGCCCCTTCAGTTCTGTGATGACGGCGCGCTTCCCAATCTCAGCGAGCCCGGGGCCAGCCTGGCAGGCTTTGCCTTAGTCGCTCCCACCTGTTCTTTGATTTACTCAGCTTTTTCTTTGAAGCGACTATCTTTCCTCGCTTAATTTTAAACAGGAAGCTGGATGTCTCCATCAGGAAAGGAAAGCAGCCGGTGGCAGACGTCGCGCGTGTGTCAGTTCCTGGGCCCACCTTCTCGCTTTGCGTGAGACCTCTGGTGTTTGGCTGAGTGGATGGCTGCCTAGAATCCAGGCTGCTTCTCAACCTCCCCTGTGGCCAGGGGTGGCCATTCGATGAAGTTCTGCACGTGAGCAGAAGTGGCATTTGGAGCTTCCTAGAGGTATCCTTAAAGGGAGGAGGGTGTGTGCGCTTTGAAGTCTCCTTCCTGGCTGGAATGCAGGCGTGGTAGCTGGAGCACTGGCAGCGGTGTTGGGCTGTGATGGCGTAAAGCAACAAGACGGAGGAGCCTGGACCGTGGCGCCTCTGCCAGCCCTGGAAGGCTGATCCCAGGACAGCATTCGCATGAGAGGAATAAGTTTCTCATTGGAGCCGCTGTGATCTGGGGATTCCAGAGGCTCTGCAAACCTAACACGGATTTAAACAGTATCGCTGGGAGTAAGCAGAAGGTGACAATAGCAACAAATGCCGTGGGAAAGTAACATGCTGAAACTGATCCATCCGATCCGGCCGCCCTCCAAGGCTCTGAACCTGAAAGCTGCTCTATTTGTTAAACTCATAATAACAACAATACACGAAAAGCATCAGTCATCATGAGGCCTGACAGATCGTTGGGCAGGGATGGGCATTCTCACCACGCGACTCCAGGCTGTTCAGTGCCTGCCACTACCTGAAGTCACCTGGCGGCGTGCGCCCCGCGGGCTGAAAGCAGCCGCAATAGGATGAGGCCTGCCCCCCTGGCACCCTCGGGGGCGCCTCGACTGCTAACCTGGGCCCTTTTCCATTTCTCCTCCCGGAGCCCAGTCCGCTAGCCACACCGAGCAGCTCCGCGTCCAGCAGGGCCCACGTTCGTTCCGGGAGCCAGCACGGGGTGAGTGAACGCTCGTTGAGGGTGGGCAGCCGGCACCCAGCGCAGGCATCCCCGCTGAGGAGTCCGGCGCTGTCTGGCTCTGCTCTGCGGCACGCTGTCCTCGCCCCGCTCTGCTCATCAGCTTTCCGGTCCTGCCCCGGCCTCCTGCCCTGGGCTCCGAAGAGACCAGATCTGCCCTTTCCCTCTGCCTGGCCGGTTGCTGCCTGCTCCTCAGCCTGGCATCCAGGCCTCAGTGCCGACTTCAGCTTCACCGGATTTTCAGACACGACCCTCTGCTCTAGCCGCGAGGTTCCTGCCTCCGAGCCTTTGTCTACCATCCCCCGGCCAGCTCTGCGCCGGCCCCACACATCCCACTCGTCCTGATGGGCCAGCGTCACAGCTGCTGACTGGGGCGCTGGGCAGGTCCCCGAACCTCCCTGAGTTTTGATGTCTTCGTGCGTAAGACACTCATTCAACACATATTGTTGAGCTCTTACTATGTCTGCAGCAGTCCGGGGTCAGCGGTGGGGAAAGCAAATTTTTTACCGTCTGTCCTTTTGTACCTTATAAATGCTGTATCAAATGCAACTGTTACTTATTTACCTTTTTTATTAAAATAATAATTGAACATGGACCGTGTCCTCCTTAGCCGAAGACCAGCATCACACCAGAA